AGAGACACCCCACAGGCCGCCGGGGCTCCCAGGCCACTCTACTCTGCACAGACTTCAAGCTCAGTGGGGTCTGAACACGGAGCGGCCCTCAGGCTGCACCCCAAGCTGGGTCTCCCTCCAGGCCATCACTCCTTGCCCTGCCCGTCTCCTGTGCTCATCCGGCCGGCACACCAGGCTCCCTGCTCACGCTCTCCAAGGAAACCCACTCACCCCACAGGACAAGAGTCAACAAAGCAGGCCACTTCCACTCTCCCCATCCCAAAAGCAATCTCCGAAACGCCGTTGGCTAAAACTCCGCAGGCACGACGAGAGCTCGCACCGCACGGAGGCTCCCATCCTGACACTTAAGCTCTGCGCGTGGCTGGGAGGCGGTCAGAGGGCAGACGCTCCCGGGTCCTCGGCACCCTCTGGCCCGAGACACACCCAAGCCTTGATTTTGGGGTGGAAGCCAGGCTCTGCTTGTCCGTGGCGTCCCCCAACCTCCATGTGCCTCGGTTTCCTTGACTGTGAAATGTGCGCTCATACTTGGCCGATTCTGTCACACACGTGGGCCACCAGAGCGCTAACTGGGCAGGAGCCCACAGAAATCACTGAGTGGCTTCGGCGACCAGACGACCCCAACGGCCCAGACGGCGACAGCAGTTCCTTCTGAAGACTCAGACAAGCTTCTGTCCTGGGCCCAGCCCTCCCGCGGGCCAGGGTGCACTCACAGGCCCGTGATGTCCGCGGCAGGAAGCATGTCCCAGACGGGGCTCCTGAAGTCACAGCAAGAAGACAGGCCAACAGCCCAGGGGACAGACAGCGGCCCCGGCGCACTCAGGCAGTGTGAGAAGCTGCAGGACCTTTGCTACGGTAACTAATCCTACGAAAAGTTCTATCGAGTGGCGTTGCTACCCCCAAAAGCAATTATTAATAAGAGACGAACTTCCTAATGAATCTCAAATAGACCCTGGAATTCCCCGACCACCCCCAGAAGCCCTTGGGTCCCAGAGCCCGAGGGAGTGCTTCTCGCCGTCAGCGACTCCAACAGGCAACGAGCCTCACGCTGGCAGCTGGGTGCAAAGGCCACACCCTCCATGGAAACTTCCGGAGGCTGCCAGTATCTTCGAGGGCAAGCGAGGCTATCCATGATTTCATCTCGATTGAGGGCAGAAGGAAGATGAGAGCAACAGAGCTCGGAACACAGCCCTCAGGAAGGTGCCGCTCACCGTCTCCAGGGCCCGCTCTCCCTCCGACCAGCGTGACCCACCGGTGCAGCCCCACCCCTCGTCACCGGCGCTCCCGTGCTCCTTCTTATGAAACTTAAGGCCCTCGTATCTCTCCCCAGAGTGATTTCCCGGCTTCACAATGGGATACGGTGGTAAGATTCCCTACAGCACACTGCCGCTTAACAGTAAGTCACAACTGTGACAAAATCTCACTTTGCAGCCCTGGGGTTTTCCCTCCTGCTCCCTACAACTGTCTTCTCCTGGGGCCCAGACGAGGGCCTCACAGGGAGTCTTACCGAGCTTCTCGATTTGCAGACGAGCTCCTCCCTGCTCTGAAAGGTGACCAGTATCGACCTCACGTCTTGCTGGGCCGGTCACAATGCACCACGGTCAATAGTCTTCCTGTGTCCCACCCCAGGATCCCTAGGAGGGGCCAGATGTGGGGGGATCAGGGCTCTGGGCTGCCCTGTGGGGAACTGAGGGACTCACAGGGAGCCCTCAGTGGGCTCCACACCAGGCTGGGCAGGTGGGGAAACCGATGTTGCCCGGGGCCCCTCAGGTAAGCTCTTAGCAAATACCAGAGCCCGGACAGCAGCCGGACGTCTCCTGGGGCCGGCAACCCGACGTGTGCAGCGGCCAGTTAGGACTCTGACAATCACCAGCTCCGCTGAGAGGTTGGGAGGAGAGACGCCTGACGACGAGTGTCTCTAAGGAATTACAGAGTCGCTGTGTCTCGGAGGGGACACGGCCCGGTCTCTGCACACGTGGGGTTGAGCCCATGCAGCAGGAAAAGGCTCCGCTCCGGCGCTGCGTTAACAGAGAACGGAATTCTGTTGGTTGACGTTTCACCTCCTAACTGCAAGTCGGAAAGCCTGTATGCTGCCAGTGGCTGTCTGTTTAAATGCTGCATCTCAATGTGCCACAAACCGCGTCTCGTGTCCTGCTTGATTTCCCGTGTTTGCCCCTGCTCCTCCTCTCAGGGGTGCGGCCGAGACTCAACCCAGAGCCTGCAGACAGCACCAGGGCTCGCTCACGCAGACCTGCAAGGCAGGGCTGCAGGGAAGGTGAGCTCTGATCCCAGATACCTGCCCAGGGGGCTGCCTGGGACCCCCTCCTCCCGTGGCCTCCACTTCCAGGGGACATGGGAGGCTCTGTCTCCCTCCAGAGGTGGTGGGGGACAAGCAAGGTCTCCAACGACCCGTCATTATTTGTTTCTCGCCGACCCTGGACCACCGGAGCTGCGTGTGCTCCCAGAAGCCTGTGTTCCTACAGAAAGCCAGGAAATGGCTGCATTCGAGATCTCTCCCAGCCCTTGGAGACACACGGCCACGCGCTGCAGACTGCTTCGGAGGAAACAGGGTACTTCAGAGCCTGGCCCAGTGGGCACGTTCTGGTTTTCCCAGAGACGACTGTGCTCATGGCTGACACCCACTCGGGATGGCTGTGGCCCACTAGCATCTTCTCGCCTTATCACTGCCCCTCCAGAAAGCTCCAAATGCCACCAGCTGGGAAGGCACTGACCTGGCCCTTGAGGGACCGGCGTGCCTTCCTCCGGGTCGTGTGGCTGGGTACGATCACCCCAACTACCAGCACAGGTCTGACGCCATCAAGGCAGTGCCAACATTTGCCAGTTTCCAGAGGCTTGCGGCTACTTCATTGTAACTCAACCCTCCCCTTTGGCCTGAGAGGATGGGATGCTCTTGTTCTCCTTCTCAGAGGAAGATCCTGAGGTTCAGAGAGGCGAACTGACTTGCCTAATACAGCCAGCGCACTGCAGATTAACCTCCAACCCACTGTCTGCATAGGGAGCCAGGGTCTCCTGGGGTCTGGCAGCCCCGGGGAGTTCCCATGTGTAGCCATGGGGGCGGGGCAGATGCTTCCTACCTGAGCGGGTCTGGTAGGTCTTCTCCTGACTTTACCTGTGGGCTTGTTAGAAATGCAGATTCCCGGGGCCCACCCCAGCGGTCCCCAAGTGACTGATGCACTCACGGAAAATTGGTATGCCCTGGAAGGCTGACCTCCCAGGTCCACCCTGACCGTCTGCAACTCAAATGAAGATGTGGAATTTGGGGAGTCGGTCACGGCCTGGGCTTGGATACCTGCCTGCCTGGGGGAATGGGAGGTCCCTCAGCAGCTCCTACCACCACTGAGCTGTGCCCAGGACTGCCCAGATGTCACAGGTGGTCCTAGGGAGGGTGGGAGCAAGGGCCAAGGTCTGTGGATCACAGGCCACTGCGATGGCCCTTTGTGTCTCACCAGCGGTCAGTAACCCCCCCTCCGCCCCGTCCCTTCCTCTGCAGCTGCTGACACGCTCAGCAATCCCGCTGCGTGGATCCTTGTAAGGGGCTGACCTGAGGGCCCAGCAGCCTAGGGACTGACCTGGCTCAGCTCTGAGGGCCCCACCTTTGCCTGCGCGTCCACAGCTCCTCCTGAGCCACCTGCAATGGCCCCTTCTTTCTTGGCTCCCTGGGGAGCCCAAGGGACACAAAATGACAAGAACCCACCAACCAAAGGCCCGGCCCCACCTGGAGCCTGTCACTGTCTCCAAGAAACACACCTTCAAACGCATACACGGGAGAAGTGGTGGAAGTACATGTTCACTTAAGACTCTCAGGCCTGGCCTGACCCTGACTGGCCGCTGCGAGTGATCCCCTCTACCTTCTGCCTCCCACCTCCACCCCCAGGCCCAGGTGCAGACCCAGTCTCATGGGAACCCTCCCCACTGGGGTGCGCAGGCCCCACGACCGTCAGCCTGAGATCTCCAGGCCTCGCCATCTGCCCCCTTCAAGCCCCAGGCTGTCCACGCAAGCAGCTGCCCCCACCCCTGCAGACCCAGGCAGAGGTTCGGGTGCTAAAGATAAAGCAAGCAGCCCCAGAGTGCAGGGAGGGAGGCTGAGCCCGGAGGTGTGGGCGGCCTGGGTGGGTGAGGCAGGGTACCGCAGCCCCCAGCCGGCTCTGGCTGGGCCGGCACTGGGATCCGCAGCCCCGAGAGACCAAGGGGCCTGGGGGAGGCGAGGACGTGCCCCCTCCACCCCCAGTGCAGGCCTGGGACCGCACTGATTCCGCATTGGGTGGGATCGCAGGACCCCCGCCCCGCACGCCACGGCAGGCGGGCGGGCAGGCGGCAGCGGCTGCTCTGTGCGCACCTCCCGTGGAGCGTCCTGGGGCTTTGGGGGCTCAGAGTCGCTCGTCTTTCTGCCCCCCTCACCAGCCCGAGCTTCCTGCGCAGCCCGGCAGATAGCAAAAGTCTGGCCCCAGCCCCCTCCCCGGGCCGGAGCTCCGGGGCCTCCCTCGCCAGCCCCACCAGGCGGGTGGCCAGTCTCCCCCGAGGCCCGCGCGCGGTCCCCGCTGCAGCAGAGCTCGGCGCCCCCGCCGCCGCCGCCGCCGCCTCCGCGCGGCCCCCCGGCTTTCCCGACGCGGCCCGGGAGGGGCCCAGCTCCCCGCCCCCGCGCCCCCCGCGGCCCGGCGCGAAGTTCCCCAAAGTGACCGCGGCGCCGAGAACCCCCGCCCCCTCCCCTCGGGCTTCCCCCGAGACTCCGCCCGCCGCCCCCTCCCGCGCCTTCGGAAAAGTTGCGAGCGACGCCCCAAACTCCGGCCCCCCGCCCCACGCCGCGCGCGCCCGGGGCGACCCCGCGCTCGGCCGCCGCTCCCCCCGCCGGGCCCCGGCGCCATGACGCGGGGAGCGCAGCGGGGCCCCGGCGGCGGCGCGGAGGCGGCCGAGCGCGGGGTGGGCGGCGGCGCGGGGCGCACGTGCGCCGGGCGGGGGGCCGCGCCGGGCCGGGGGCAGCTTACCTGTTGGAGGTAGAGGAAGGCGGGCGGGCAGGGCACGGAGTGCGGGAGCATGCTGCCGGAGTTGGACAGCAGGAGGCAGCCCGAGTTCGCCATGGAGCACAGCATGGGGCGGCAGGGGGGCGCCCGGCGGCAGCTCTGCGCTCGCTGCGCGGCTCGCACCCTCCGCGCGTCCCTCGGTGTGTGCGCGCGCCCTGCCTCCCGGGCGCCCTCTCGGTCTCCTCCTCCTCCTCTTCCTCCTCGGCCCTCCCCTCCCCCTCGCGGCGCTCCTCAGGAGGGAGGCATGGACGGCGAGCGGCGCGCCTCTGCCCGGTGCTCCCCTGCCCGCGCGGGGATGCTGGGGAGGGCGCGCGCGAGAACACGGCCCGGCAGGCTGTGTGCGCGAGAGGAGGGACGAGGGCAGCGGGGGAGCGGGCGCCCGTCACTTTGGAGCCACCGGAGCCCTGTCTGCAAAGAGTGGTGCGTGTGCGTGTGAGTGCGCGCGTGTGCGCGCGTGTGTAGCGGTGGGAGGGGGAGTCCCTGGCGTACTCCAACCTCAAACAGAGCCCCGCGCCGAGGGAAGAGAATCCGGAACGACGGCGCGACAGCTGATCACACACTTAACCCCTCGCCCGCCGGCGCCCTCTCCGGGGCCCCTCGGCGGCCCTCCTCCGCCCCGCGTCCAGCGGCTGCCCCGGGCGTGGGCTCCGGCATCTGCCTCCGGCCCCGCTCGGCCCGCCGGCCGCTGCGGAGAGGACCGGCTCTGCCGGCTTTGCGGCCGACCGGAAGGCGCTTCGTCCTGCTCGGCGTTCCGAGCGGCGCCTCTCATAAGGGAGGCCGGCTCAGTGGCGGGGATGTCGGTGATGTAATGAGGGCATCTACGCAGAGGCTTCCTAGCCGGGGAGCGCTTCTCCGCCGCCCAGCGCTTGGAAAGCCAGCTGGAGCCCCCGGGGGCTTCTCCTGCCCACCCCCACGGCCCCCAGACCTCATTTACACCTTAGGCCTGCCCCAGGCACATGGTCCTGTGGATATTTAATAGGGGGAGGGGGCGGGGACAAGGGGCACTGGCCACAATGCACCCTCCCCTCCCCAGACTCCGTCGCGCTGGACTTGGTGGACACACACGATGCCGCAGGAGTGTGCACGTATGGACCCCAGAACCCAGCCACTGCTTGGCTCAGGTGTTCACTGTCCCTGTACCACCACTGACACAGATGTGTGTGTGTGTGTGTGTGTGTGTGCGCGCGCGTGTGCAGCTTCACCAGGCACACACCCTCCCCCACCAGCCTGCGTGCACTCACACTGGACAGATGCCCCTGACCAGGCTCAGTAACCGGGACAAGCCACAGGTGAGCCTGGCTGTGAGGCACAGTCTGCTACCTGCCACCCCTAGAGGTAGAGCCAGCAGGAGGACACACCTAGCCTCTTGTCCCATGTATGCGCGCTTCTCCCGGTAAGGGGAGAAACCCACGGATACCCAGGACTAATTCCGGACTCACCTATCCTTCCTAAGGCACCAGAGATGTTCTTTCTTTCACTTCTGAGAGCAAGCCCCACTCTGGAGGGAGGGAGGGCTGGGACCCCCTTATAATGGGAAAGCCACCCATCAGAGGGAGGCCCCTTCACTTGCTGTGTGATTTTAGGAAAGTGGCTTGTCCTTTCTGGGCTCCCATTTGTGCACCCGTCCCGAGAGGCTGGGGGGACAGTGTCTGAGATGTCTTGCTGTGCTCCCTGCAGTACGTGTCTGTAAGAGCCATTCCGGAGGAAGTGGCAGGGAGGGAAGAGGGATGGGCTGAGAACGGGCCATCTCCAAGCCCTGTTTGGGAACAAGCTCCGTTCGAGCAAGGCAAGCAGGTGTGTGCCCCTCGGACGCCGCTCTGTCAGGGACCTCGTGTCTCTCAGAGTAGCTGCGGTTCACCTTCCTTAGAAGGAAAGGGCGTGCACCGTCTGGAAGGGAGGCAGATGGCAGAAGGGACAAGGGTCGAGGGAGAGGCTACAGTGGGGACAGCTGGCCCCGCCGCACATAGCCGCACTTGCTGACCCTTTTCTGGAGCCCCCCTCTCGGGTGGCACGCTTGGCTATGGACTTGCAGAGGCCATCCCCTGCCCTTGGGCGGGATGGTTATTAACTCGTCTCCCAGAAGAGGCACCCCGACGGCCTGAGACAGTGGTGGGGTGGCCCGGCGTTGAGGCCTGGGGCATCTGGGGAGGACCGCGGGGCTGGGTGTAGCATTTTCGAGGAGAGAGGGCTGTCCTGTGGAGGGTGGAGCCCAGGGTGGCCCCAGCTACAAGAGCAGGGGCAGCCCTGGGGGCCTCTGCCTCCCCAGTCCTTCCGCTCTGCTCTCCTGTTTCAGAAGCCTTCCCTCCCTTCTGCTGTTGCCGCCCTGGCTGCTCGCTCCCTGGAGGACAGTCAGGAACCCGGGGCAGCTGTGTAGCATTAACCCCCAGCCCTGCGCTCTAAGTCCACTGTCCGTGTGAATCATTCGCTCGTTAATTTGCCATTGTTACCCAACATCTACAGAGACTGAGGCTTTATTCCTCTTATAAGAGGATTTGAGAGTGTCTTAAACATTGTCCAACCTACAGGAGACACCCTTTGAGTTGACCCTCCTGCTTTCCCTTGAGAACCTGCTATGTGCAGACAGAGACCGCACCAGATGCTGGGGCTGTAAAGACCAAGTGCTCTGCCCTGGAGTGAGTGCACCGTCTGGTGGGGAAAGCAAGCCGACACACTGCAGCCTACCGTGCTAAGACCTGTGATGGCCCAGGAGAGTGGGAGCGCAGATCTGGGGTGAGCTCAGACATGGGGTGGGGTTGGGGAAGCTTTCCTGGAGGGACCTCTGAGCTCAGTGCTTGGCTTCCAGCATCCTTGCCTCCTGGTCACCTGTGGGGCCTTTCAGCCTGGCCGCCCTGGCTTCAAGCCTCACCTCCAGAGAGTGTCAGGCCCTGGGAGCGTATCTAGACACCTGCCTCCATCAGTCCTCTGGTCACACCTGGGCTCCAGAGGGACTGAGAACAGCAACACGGAATTAACAACCACCGCCACGTCCAGAAGAAGGATCTGAACATCGTGTCTGTCCTGCCCCTTTCTCAGGACGGGCTGTGTGCCCACCGCCTCCTGTGCCGGGCCATGCTCGTGACTTCCACTTTGAGCCAGTTACTAACTGACAAACTGAGAGGCTCTGTCCACGGCAAGGGGCGGGGGTGGTGTCTTTGGGGGGTTAGGCCGCCGACTAGCCAAACACTGTAGCCCCTCTGGTCTTCCTCTCAAGAGTTGAGTGTCGGGAGGGCAGGGAAGCTGCTGGCTGGTCTGCACAGCATCACCCCAGCGCCTGGAAGGGGACCTGGCAGAGATGAGTGCGGGTGTCCTGCCCCCCCTCACCCCACAGCTGATCCCAGTGCTGAGGTGACCACAGCGGCCCGTGCGGCTTGGAAGCCCGAGCTGGGCAAAGCTGCCGCAGAAAGCCATGCCCCTGCTTGGGGCATCAGGACCATCTCTACGTCATGGACGGGAGGAGAAAGGCGAGAAGTGGCCTGTGCTCCCCTAACTGCGCTCCTGGGGGTGTCCCAAGGGTACACAACACATCGACGGTGACTGTTCCTGAGTCTGTGCGGTCCTTGCCCCCCTCACCTCGGACCTCCAGTGCCTCCACAGTGGGGTACAGCATTCTTCAGGTCCCCGTACTCCTAACGGCCCTCCAGAGCCCCCGGTGCCTCCAGAGTGGCGGGTGGGGGAAGCCCCCAGGGCCCGGGGCGCTACTGCCCCCACTTCTGGGGGGAAGGGAGGCTGTGCCCTGGGAAGGGCTGTCAATCCAGCTCTAATATTCACTACTTAAAAAAAGAGCCAAGGAAAAAAATATCCCATTCGCCCTGAATCTGAGAAAGGCCTCGTTAGGGAGGCAGGAACGGAGCTGTAATTATTCCTGCGCTCCTGGGCACCACTATAAATACCAGGCAAAGAGGCACCTCAAAAGGTCTGGATGGTTCCAGGGCTTTGGAGATCTCTTGGCTCCTTCCTGTCCCCCCACCCATGTCACCTTCCCTGGAGGGAGCCCTCCTGGGTGCCCCCCTTTCCCTCTGCAGGGCAGGGCCTGCCTTTCCCACCTGCTCCGGGAGACCCAGGCCTGAGCAGCCTTGCAAACATCCTCAGTCTTCGTGTGTACCTCTGCGAAATGGGGACACGGAGTCTCCTTGGGAAAGCGTATGCCAGGAAGTATCCAAGTCGGCCTGTGTTTTTAACAAAAGGTGGGCAGTTCTGTAGTCGATCTGGTGTGCAACAGCCTATGACACTCCCCCGATCCTCTGGAAATTCCCAAGGCCACATGTGGGTATATTCCCACAGGAAACGAAAGCCCTGAAGTCCCTCTAGGGGAGGCTGGGTGGGGGGCTGAATTACTCATGGGCCTGCCCCTCTCTCGCATTGTGAGTGCCCAGACTGGTGTCCTCAGCCTTCACCTATGTGCAGAGGACAGCCTGGAGCTTGGCAAAGGCATGCCAGGACAAGGGGTGAGCTCACCGTCTCCGGTTGCAGCTGGGCCGTAATCTACAGAGACAGCGTGCTCAGTGCTTCCAGCACAGCCGGAGCTCCCTGCCCCAACTTCAGGGTGTCTGGCACAGGCTTGGGCATGAGCACCAAGGAGGCAGCAGTGGCACAGCTGTGTGTGGCTTTTCCATGGCAGGGGGGCTAAGATGGGCAGAGCTCAGGGTGGGTACGAGGGAGGCTGCGGTGACCCGAGAAAGCTCTTCTGTGTGAACCAACCAGACACCCACGCAACCAACTGAATCTCTTCCAGGGGGATTCACACCCCAGTTCCACAGCTATGGGCACAGGAGTGGAGTCAGGAGAAAGTCCCGAGCTGCTGGGGTGTGTCCGACAGACCCCCTTGGGGAAATGTCAGGTTGAGGACAGGCAGCTCCTTGTCTTCATATGAAATCTGGGAGCCCCTCTGATTCCCGAAGGGGACAGCTTCCCTACTTTGGGAGTGGGAGGCCCCTTCTGCTTTGTCTTCTAGTGTCCGATTCACCCAGAAGGGCAGAGGAGTCAGCGCGGGAGCCCCTGTGAGGAAGAGGACTGGTAGAGGCCAGGATGGGAGGGAGCTGTCCTGGCTGTTGAGGCCACACTGGACATGTCCAGTAGAGGGCCCACTCACCCTAGCCAGAGCCTCCCCTCTGCGGCCAGGCCTGTGAGGACGGGGGGCACTGGGGGTCCACCCCACCCATGGGCCCCTCTGCATCCCTGAGCCACAGGGCACTCGGTGGCGCTGAGGGGAAGCCAGGCCCGGTCCAGGCTGCCGGGGCCAGCACCCACCTTCCAGCCCCGCGGCACCCCCTCCACGCCCACCAGTGCTGTCCCCCTGGTCCCAGCAGACTGCAGCAAAAGTAGAAATCCGCGTGCAAAGGGAGTTTATTTATCTGTTTAATTAAGAGGCGCTTGCCAGCCACATTTGGGTCCATCGCCTCACTTACAACCATGTCCCGGCAAAATTAAACATAATAAATATAGGAAGACTGAAAGCAAAGGGCACACTCGAGATATATGGGCAAAGCCAGAAGTCGCACAGGGTTGCAGTTATAAGCACATCTTTCTCTGGCAAGTTCCCCTCCCCTCGGGGCCTGTGAGCCGGAGGACGGCTCTCAGAAAAGGGGTTGTGGGTGCCACG